GGAAAAATCAATTAACAAACGGAGACGTAACAATATACATGATAAATACGAGTGACTGCATATGTCAAAAACATACTTAAATATCTTTTCAACGTAATATATGGCGCTATAATACATCATTATTGATGTTTTTGACCTTCCGTAAGATATTTTTAAAAATTTAGTCAAAAAATATACAAGCATTTCAATGAAAATCAATTTGCCATTCACTATAAAATTCATTGCCTTTGCCAACACAATTAATAAATCGCAGGGTTAGACAATTGACGATGCAGGAATATATATTCGAGAATCAGTTCTTTTTGCTTGGTTCAATATATATGAGGCTTTTTCAAGAAAAAATATTTGAACATAGCATAAAAATATACATAAGTCAAATTTATAATCGAAGACAACTTATGAGAAATGATCAAATATATTCCAAAGTTTAGTTTTCGTGAAATACTAGAAAAAGGATAGACATTCTCCATACATACATTGTTACTACAATCTAATTAATTTTTAGAAACATGTTCATAAAACATTAATTTAGATTTCGTTTTCAAAATAAAAATTAATCAACATGTACGGTCATATGACTGGTATTCAGCTAGTATATCTATATGTACGTATGTTTAAGTAAAATATTTTCATTAGTTCTATGCAGATATTCAATAATTAGTTAATACTTTGGAAATATTTGTTTTTCATTTTTCAAAATTATCTTGTCACCAGATAACGCGTATATAATTTGTTCCATAATTATGGTAACAATGTTGTGTTATCAATTATTAATAACCTTAACAACAAAACCCGATGAAGACTCTAATAGGAGAGCCAAACGCTTGTCAGACCGAAAATAAGTTTATTTCTCGTGAGATGTAGTCCGTAATTTTATTTATCTAATTGCAAATATTTTGTTTCTTGTTTTTCACGAGCGTGTGAGTCTTTTCTCCGGTGAGATTGTTCATTTTACTCTCTCCTAAACAAATATTTACGATCCTAATAGCCCAGTATGGCCAGGTGGTTAGGGCTCTTGACTCGCAATGTGAGAGTCGCAGGTTCGAATCTCCATCCCACCAAACATACTCGCCCTTTCAGCTATGGAGCGTTATAAAGTTACGATCAATCCCACTATTCGTTGGTAAAAGAGTAGGCCAAGAGTTGGCGGTGGGTGGGGGTGACTAGCG